GCACTGGCACTGGTTTCCATTAAGGCTGCATTCTATCCCTCTCCTGTTTGTGTTTTACATGGGTAGCATATTCAGGCGCAGCAAGAGCGACGAGTGTATCAGCGTAGGGGATGCCAAGACACGAAATTTGCTGTTTGTAGACGACATTGTTTTGTTGGCAGTTTCTGAAACTGATCTACAGCTCTCGCTGGAAAGTTCACAGTCGAATGCTACGTAACTAGCATGCGTGTGAACATGTTTAAGACGAAAATCGTGGTGATTTCGCTCTACCCTTCCCGCTGCGCTCTGCAGATAAACGGAGGAACTGTGGAACATGTGAAGTTTAGATACCTCGAGGTCGTGTTTACCGGTGATGGAAAATAGGAGGAGAAAATCGACAGATGAATTGGGTTGGTCAACGGTGTTCTACTGAAATAACCCAACCGTTATGACTAGGAAGGAGCTCAGTCTGAAGACTAAGCTGTTAGTGCTCGAGTCGATTTTCATTCCCATGCTCATCTATGGCAGTGAATCGTGAGCCATGACTGAAAAATTTCAATACTTTATACAACCGGGTAAATGAGGTTTCTGAGACGAATTGCTCTACTCAGTGGTGTCCATGCGGTCCTTAGTTCAGACGTTGGGAGAGACCTTGGTGTATAGCATAAAATTCACCAGACTTAGAAGTCACAACTGCAATGGTTTGGGCACATACCGCGAACGATTCCAGAAAGGAAGGCGAAACAGCTACTAGTTGTCCAACCGATTGGCTGAAGATGCCGGAGATGGCGAAGAATGATGTGAGGCAATTGCTCGAAAAACTCTGTTCCAGATTTTAGTTATCTTCTGCCGAAACTCAAAAGCTGGCATAGTGTCAGGAACATTTGATAGTTTGAACGTCTAACACGTCTGCCTACGCGACGCGATAGGATAAGTGGTAATCAGAACTGACTGACTGATGTTGGATTAGTTAAAGGCTTACGATTTATTAATTTAATTCGCTAATCTACTTAATTGAGGTTTACGTCAGAGCCGAGGCTGATGATGAAAATTTCGCCTTCCAACGAAGAGACGGAATCAACGTGTAAAGGAATGCCTAAAAAATGAGCATATTCATGTTTCAAATGAATATTATAAGGCATACCTTGACCAGGAGAGTAGATGTTGATTGTCACCTGGTCAGCGAGTTTATTAGAGATTCCACGCATCACAATGCGGTTTATGAACACTTTTATTTCATAGGGGATTTCCGGAACAGCTGAAGCGTCCAGATTCACACTGTTCACTCCGTAAACGAATTCGTAGCCGAAATGCATCACCGTCCGATTCTTCAACACGCTACCTGAACTGGCAAAATTTCCATAGTGGAAATACGTACTAAAACGAACGAAACTCTACATACGTTTCCTATCGGGCGAAAGGACGATCTCAAGAAGAGCTTGTTCCTCAGCCTCGGTTATGAATTTTGGATGTAAAACTACCCCTCTTTCGTTCAGACCGTCCCAATTCAGACACGTGCCAGGCGGAACTGAAATCACAGAAACACACTGCATGAGAAACCTGGAACGAGCAAAGCATAAGAAAACAGGAAGCAACGAAAGACGGCTGAAAAATTTGCATACTGAATATGTGCAGATATGAAAAAAACGAGGAAAGAGTTACCATTTTGCACGTAAAGGAAGTATAATTTTGTGTTGCTTCGGAAGTTAGTCGGGGTTTGACCCTGCCACTGTTCGACAATATGTTGTGCGTCATCCTGTGAACCGAAATCAACGAATACATATGGCTTGTTTGGACGAACGACGATTTTATAAGTCGATGAGCACGACTGCTGAAGAAACGCGTCCAATTCATCAAAAGACACGCCGCACATGACACCACCATTTGCAACATACAATATCTAAAACTGTCTTAATTCAAAAATGCGCATAATACCTAACCAAGCTGAAATATGAGGATTAAAGCAAATTAAAGCATTCTCTCTAACAGATCATATATTTTAGATTTAGGTCGATCAAAGTTCATCGCCGGTTCGACAAACATTCACACTGATTTAGTCTTAAACAATATTTTGAACAGTAACTGTGGCCTAGAACTGTCAAAAAATATGCCAAGTTTAATGAAAAGTTCAAGAGATTATGCAATTGTTCCATACCGGGGCTCAGATTACAAAAGTGGTGACGGAAGATAATTCACCACCACGTGACTGACAGCACCTGACTCGGCACAACAAGAATCGGAAATAATTTCGGTTCACATATCAATAAGAATTGTAGCTAAGAGGACTAACTTGCACAGTCAAAACTCGTTGCAGCTGTGTGGTTAGAGTGAAGTGCATATTTTTCGAAAAGCACAAGTTTAATGGAAGCTTCTAATCTAACTACAATAGGAAGCCAATTCAAAGGATACTGGTATGTGCTTGCTAAATTTCCATGGGACAGATGGCTTCATCGTCAGCGGGAACCTATTTCTTCATAGGCGATTTCATCAAACAACATGGATATCTCCTGAAGGAAGACTGCAAACACAGGTGAATCACATCGTCAGCACAAATAAAGTAACTTGCTAGTGGAGACCAGCGTCAAGCGTGGCGCATAAATTGAGTGTGATTATCATGTGGTTGCAGCTGAACTTCGCTTATAACCAGCTGTCACATCGACGCTACTCGATTAAAATACATAAGCTTCTCGATGTTGACAAGTTAAAATATGACCATATGCAATCAACTAAATATCATGAGGTAGAAAGCTTATCTTAGTGTTTTGTCAGTGCTCAGGTGGGAAATAGCAAAGTCGATGAGGCTTACAAGCCTTTCAATGAACGTGCCTTTTCTATGGTAGAAATACAGTTGGGGTCAAAAGGAGGACAGCTCAAAAGCATGGGATTATGGGGTACTCTATAGCACTTAGGGTTTAGCCTAAGTAGGAAAGTCAGCAATAAACTGCTACAGCTACATACTGCACTCGTAAACGCAACACAGCCTCGTCTCGAATAATGTCAATTAAAGCTACAGACAGAAAAAACAACTTTGACTGGAGAGGAAATTGGGAAGGTCGCTAAAGCGGCCAGAAAGCGTAACAGGTGAGCGGCGTTCCAAGGAATGCAATAGTTCTAAGGTAATCAGGGAACTAGGTCAGACTATATCAATGTAAACAGTGCACTAATGTCAGATCAGAAAGAACAAATCAACAGATGGGCTGAGAATTTACGGTAGCTTTAAAACTACCTTGTAGCTTCATCCTTTCTGCCTGTAAATCATCTGTCAACACCAGCAATAAATACTGATTGACCTATAAAACTAAAAATCCAAACTATCTTGCCATACAATGGTGAAAAACGTGAGTCGTGTGATCAATTGTCCTCAGAACTAATTAAATATGCAGAAATGTGAATGGAAGAAAAGTTTAATGTCCATTTTCAAGAAGCGCCTACTCAAACTGCCGCAGTACTTCGCTAGAGTTAACTGCTAGGAAAGTGTCCTGAATCACGCTGGAAAGATGGCAACGGGAAGCAGAAAGACGCCTTCAACCAAATCAGGAATGCTTCCACTTGGGTACCTATTCTCTGACCAACATTTTCACTTTCTTTGCTACTTTTCTCGACGTTAAGACTGCACCTGACTTAGTGCATGGTTTAACGAAGTTGAAGATCTTAGAGTGCTGTGATACAGAGCGCATCACTACCATTTAGTAAAATGTGTTACGAGTACGAATCTACAAATAAAGCTAAAGGTACACTATCCTTGTCATTCCCAATTAACTGAAGAATTTTCAAGGGAGATGCGCTTTCATCATTGCCATTCAACACTTCACTTGACGTTCTCCGTCGAAAGAGCGCTAACATGGACAAGCATGAAGCTTTCATTCTAAAGGAAAGGCTAAGTTTAAGATATTCGGTAAGATCTCTTGCTGACGTGGAGTATGAAGACAATATTCTCTCAATGAGTGCAACGGTAAGCGAGCATCACCATCAGCGTACGCATGCAACACAGCTATGAAAGTTGGTCTCTTCCTTAACGTTCAGAAGTGTAATATCACGCCCGCACAGAATGTCTACTAGTAAAACAGGGAAATGAAACGATAAAAAATTTGACCGGTTCAAGCACCTCTGTTCCATGATTTTCAGCTACGACACCATCCAATTAGAGTTAAACAAGAGGACTGCCATTGATTGCAGTACTTTTGGTAACTCGTTCAATGTTTGGGCTAAGAAGAGAATATAACATTAGAGAAAAAATCCGCATTACGTACTTTGCTTTGGTCAGGTCAGTGTCTACACAGCAAATAAACAGCTGTTCTAACAAAGGACCAAGAACGACGGTTGAAAAACGTACAGTGGCTTCCACTTCGACACACAAAGAGAGTTAAATGACAAGGCAGTGTAAGGAAACGCTTCATTCTTTTCCTAATATACGAATTCTCAGTAGATGTAGAGAACTGATCAAGGAGGTTGGCCCTGACAGATAAACTGATTGGGAATAAATCGTTTATCAGAGCTCGCTAACCTCCCATGCATAATCGAAACATGGCAGACGTCGACTACGAGATCAGCATGTAACGTGGATAAACGTGGTAGAGGCAGATCTGCTTTCAGAGATGAATTACTTTTTCATCGAAACAGTTTTCGGTGCCTTACAGCAAACAGCAATTATACTGAAACCGAGGATCCAGCAGACATCACTAACATGAGACTTTCTACTTAAGCAGATAGTAAAGATGATGACAACGAAAACAAATATCTCAATCACATGAAGTACGGCGAAATGGTTACAACCTGTTATATGAAGACGTTCATTATAAGTTGAGTCCCACTGTCTGTTACATGACACAGTACTGCATGGCGAAACTGATGACTTTACTTTCTCTATGCAATTCGTAGAGATGGTTTTGTAATGCAACAGATCATTCACTTAGTAAATCCTTATAAGAAAGTCAGGAATGAAGCAAGATTGGCCAACATTAACCAAAACTTACAAAAACGTCTTGTTTTAAGTCAAAACAATCATTCAGTTTTATAGCCTGCTACTCCTGTCGGAAATAAGGGAGGGCTAGAGCATCAGAAAAATTTTCCAGTGGGCTCAGAAAAGATGCGCGAATTTTTAGAAATTTCAGGAGTGACAATGCGATGCGTTTAAAATACAACGGTACGCAGTCTGGCAGCCTACGATTTGGATTCGGGAATCTTTCGACCCTACCTCACTGTAAACACGCATCCAAAAACCGCAGCTGTCAAAGGCAATGCTCAACTCTAAAAACCAGTCGTTCACAACAGAGAATAGCTCAGATTTTAGTAATCTGAAGCATGAGGCTTTACAGCAGCAATTCCGAGGAGAAAGTTCATTAATCTTCTAAAATTCACAACCGATTCAGGAGTGAGCGCTGAATACACGAGATCTTCTGATTTAATGGCTTGAGGCACAGAAACGAGACGGGTAGATTTTTAATATCGACGTTTCGAACATGTGACGGTGTTCAAGACCGAGGCACAAAATGAACAGAGATCGAATTCATGCGCTATGGTAAATAATGCGGTTCACATGACCGGAATAAATTACAATTAAGCATTAGGAGACCTTAAAACTTCTAAAATCAATATGAATAAAATAGTTGATAAAATAGAAGCGACTAAAGTAATTAAATCCGCGCCTTGGATATATCAAAGAACGTAATACAACCGTTGAATACTCTATTCTGTTCGACAGAGAAACGCAACAATTCTTTAACGAACAATTAAATTCTAGCTCAGAATTGTATCGATCTTGTAATTTCATTTCCGCCGCTTATATTCGGAATTGAATTCTTTCAGCCATATCCAGCACTCATGTGTATGCTTTACGATAGGCACGCAAACAGACCGGAACGGAAATAACTTCCTACTACCACTCAATTCACTTATTTCACATAGTGAATTAGACCTTGCTTAACTGCACTCATTCGACCGGTTTGTGCGGGTAGCTTTACTAATCAGTAATCATTCGTGAATGCTACCAAACATACTTAAACTTCTCTACCTGTCTCCATTACAAGCAGCTTACCTACAGAGCACAGTGACTGAAGATGCCTCGGTTTTGGAAAGGCTAATATCATCAGCGAATAGCAAGTGCGTCGGTCGAAAATTCTATTTGTGAGGTTATTCGCGCCTGCACTGCTTCTGCTGATCTGACACACAGAAACTATCGACAAGAAACTACGACACCCTCGATACAGATAAATACGCTCTCTGGAAAGCAGAAACTTCTGTTATCCTGGACACAGACTT